ATTGTGGGAACATTTCAGTATTTGCAGCAACTGTTGTTTGAATATTCAATCAACAAACGTCAGCAGCATCGACCATAGTGATGGTGGTGGCTATTTAGTGACATAAATGCAGAATAAGGGATGTGGAGAAGGAGCAGATAGTACAAAGTAAACACCATTAAAATCTTACAAAGTTATTTTTCTTTATAATTTCTCTAGGTCAATAGTTCAACTCCATCGTGTCGTCGGAATTGTAAAGGTGAGACATACGAATGTCAGATAGATAGTCAAAGCACACTGAACGTGAAGCATGTGTCATAGCACGACACTGTAGAGAAGTAAATCGGCAAATCGCTGTAAAAGGCATACTACTGCCACAGATGATTTATTAGCATTTACTGACAACAACGACATAAGCCGTAGCGGAGTTCCGTAAGTAGTTCACTTAATTTATGATTACTGGAGCAACTAATGACTTTGGTGAAACACCCGAAAAATAAGTCGGAAAACAAGTAGAGTTGGTTCTACGCCTGGTTAGTCTGGGCTCAATGCGGTGCCACACGGAACACAATGAAATTTATAACCATATGTTTTTATAAAATACCATTAAGTTACGATAGCGGAGAGTATCATCGCATCTACACTGTGAACGATGGTAAAACAAATCAACAGACATTGCCAAGAACCAATACGGAATTTAACATCAGCCCAAACCAAACGAACTGAAAGTCTAAGAACTAATCACACAGTGGTAAAACAGTGCTTGTTTTAACGATTTGTTTGTTTGTTTTAACGACGTGTTAAGCAGGCAATTCATTCCATGTTCCATAGTAATTGTTTTTATGATTCAAATGATACGTATTAAAACCGGTACAAATCCACTTCAAATTCAAAAACTTAGGGGTATGGATCGGACTGTTGTCAATAATTGTTATTAACGTGTTTGACAGAATGAGATCCATTTATGGCACATTCTTCAGATAAATACGATAGTTTTTCATAAGAAACAATTTATACGAAATGCAATAGAGTTCATAGAAAATGTATGTATAGAAAATATGTCCATAAAAAATATGAATTTCTTGTCTTTAAAGATTCCATCTAATATAATTCCATCTAATCTAATAAAAAGTAGTGGACGAATACTCACAAAAAAATCATCACGCCCTACTACAAAAACTTGACCTATGGTGAATTGGCCATTGTTGGTTGGTATATTCTACCATCAAAAATCTTGTTACACAGTGTTATTTGCTTATAATCTATTACGCAATAGCGTCGCATAAAGGGTTGTATGAAAAATATTTTGCAGGTAGAGCAGAAGAAACTTTACACTTTATGTATATACGTGGAGTAAAAGATGTTGGGTTTGCTGGGCACATATGTATGTAATGTTTAACAAACACTCGTAGTACGCACAGTGCTGAACAAAGATTTGTTCACTGAACACAGATTAGTTCACCTCCTTTGTATTGTAGCGCCGCGAAGTGGCACACAAACAACAAAAATTCTGTATAGATTTCAAGCAGAATTTTCCCAAAAGTCATTGTAATAGAAATATTTTTAGACGATTTTTTCCCAAAATTATATAAATTATCCAAGCGTTATGCTTGTTGCTAATATTTTGAGCAGCACTGTGTGCTATATTATGACTGTGTGCTATACTATGACTATGCTATACTATACTGCACAGTCATTTGCAACCAGTCCAAAGTTTTAATGAGGAGTACAGCAGTCAGTCTATTCACTACCATCCCGTTTTATTGGTACTTGTTAAGGAAACACAAAGAGCATACATTTAAATGAGCGAGTAGTTGCAAGATTTAGTGGTTGGTGTGTCAGTGCGTCCAGTATATACAGAACTGAGAAGGACATGAGCCCACCGACAAAAATTCACAATCACATTTGCATATTAACTCGCGTTCACTTACAAATGCGCCCATATTATTCGCGAGGGTTGCCTTGTGCCATACAGATGTTGAAATGAATTTAACCATTTCCACGTTACTCTAAAATATGTTCGGCAATCTAATGCTCACTATGTTAAAAAACCCGGAGAACAATAAAATAGGAACAATTTAAAACTGGTTTTTATTTAAATCTGCCGATGACCACGAAAATGCAAAGATCTAGGATAAACCATAATCAGATGTCGTCCGATTTAACGATAACATATTTCACATAGATGTTTCTTGGCAAGCCTGTCCTTGGGTGAATTTACTATTTTTCTGCTCCGTGTTTTACTATCTCTCTGTTCGTCTGTACTAAGTTTTTCTAGATAATAAATGACCCGCCATTAAATAGCAATTAAAAGCTCATATGTGTCCATAAACTGCTGCGAAACGTTAATTTTTCGAAATGTTGTTGCTATTCTTTGCATTTACACGATGTGCAATTGCATTTGAATGTGTATATGGGCATATACATGCACAAATCAGGTAGATAGATGAGCATAGATAATGGATATTTCGGAGATATGAAGGCGGTGTAAGCCTTCTTTGAATTAGCTGAATATAGCTTGAGAAATCGTAAATACCCTCAAGCTTTCCGACTCGCCCTATATGGAATAACCCATATGAATATATCTGTATAGATGTTTACTTATTTGAATCTCACTTAGAGGCTCAAATCCAATCTCACCGCCAGTCTTTATCGAAGAATAAAGCATTAAACGTCTGTGTGTGTACAAGTATGAACATAAATTGCAAATGTATCTGTAGTTATGTATGCAAACGTGTGTATATGACCATTTACCCATGCAGTAATTAAGTGTTGTAATCAAAAGGATACATGTAGCGGAAACTTGAATAATGGTTACATTTAAAACTCCCTCGACCATTATGTATTTGGGAAACATTCGGTTGGAATGGATATAGCAAATTCTAAAACAGTCGAATACGCTTATAACGAACACCGGTAATAACGAACTTTCATTATAGCGAACCCATTTCCTGGTCGCAAAGTTGTATGACACATTTTTCATTCAAATTTTACTCTTAAAGCGAACTAGGGATGTAGTTTTTTTTTCATAACGAACTATCTATTCGGTTCCTTCTTTCAGTTTTCATTTATTTTAATTCGGTTATAACGAATTTGTTATAAATATCCAAATAATTAAAAATGACAAATCTGCTCAAAAATGGCGACCTTCACAAAAAATCTTGGCTTCATTAAAGGAAAAGGGAAGCAGCTAAAGTATTGCCAAAAATGACACACAAATTACATATTTTTTCTGTTGATCCTTGGTTTTGCCTTACTTTGGATATAACGAACTAATTTGTTTTTTTTTTTTTTTTAAGTGATGCGGAAAAGAAAATAAATAAAGACTTGCCGACATTGCTCAAATGCGGACAACACAAAACACACCACGGCTGTAGTTACCCAAGATAACGTCAACATTATTTTATTCATAATATACTATGAAACTTTAAAATTTTAACATATAACAATTGAAAGTTATACTCTTTGCCAATACCTAAAGGATATAAAATAAAATATGCAAAGATAACCTGCACACCCTATGAAATTATTTCTGCAATTGAAGCGAGACGAAGATTAAAAAAACCCCAAGAGAAACAAATGTTGTTAATGCATTTTAATAATAAATTGTCAATTGAATTATTATTTCGGTACATTTGGGAAGCACTTAGTGGGAAAATGTTGAATGTTTGAATATAAACAGATTAAAAACTAGTAAGGAAAAGACAAAAGTTGAACAAGATCACTATTTCAATGCATTGTTAAATATAGTGACTTAAATATATGTAATTAATTATATATATATATATATATATAAATTCAGTTTTTGTTTTTGACAATTGGAGAAAACTAATCCAGGGTCAAGTGGTTGGGATGAAGTACCAGAAAATTTTGCTCCCTTAAAGTAGCTCCACACACCTAGAAAGCAGGAAATAACACAAGTGTGTAGACATTGTGTCTAGTCCATTTTGCTTTATGACAAACATGTTTCCTTATTGCAGTATTGAAACATATCGGAGAATTCATAGGTGTCGGTTTATTCTTATAAGAGAAATGCGTAGTCTTTAACCATAACACAATGTGGAATCAACGAGAATCACACATTCCCGCAATAACAATCATCAACAGCAACTTCAAAGTGTTTTTTAAATCACAAGCATGTAATAGGAGACCAAAGACATACAAGTAAAAAATGAAGACTACAGAATCAAAAGTTAGAAAAATAAGGAATTTCATAGCAGTTGATTTTCAGTTGATACCAATCCCCTTCACCATGGTTTATCTCTGATGACCTCAAGCTTAAGGAACTTCCTCCACCATCGTTCTAGTCTTGTCCAGTTCAAATAGAACCAAAACATCAAAGAAGAAGGCGAAAGCCAAAGTAAAATAAGATTACGGCGTCTAAACAATAATAAACTCCATTCGTACTTTCACTGATACAACATACACTTCAGTGGAATGGCCTCTATCAAACGGCAAAGCACTTCATTTTGGGACCAGCCACTGGACGTAGCCAAATGTACCAAAGGATGAAAATCAAATATTGACAACAACGCTGGTGGGTGAGTCAGTGAAGCCAAAAACATTGTGTTTTACAAGATAAGCGGAAACTAGCCAAGATGGAATTAATTTTCCGCTTCGGACAAACAAGCGGAAGTAAATAAGTACGAATAAATATAAGCTTCAACGAAAACAAACAACAAAATACCATGGTAGGCGATTATCGCCTATACGGTAGCCCGCGAGGATGGCCACCCAAATGATATTGTAACACAGATACGTGCTTAGACAAACTTAATCGATTAATGAAATGTAAATTCCCAATTGCATACACTATATATTAAAATTATGTATTCTGAAATTAATACGCCATGTATTCTATTTAAAATAATTCATATTTCTGCCTTACAACAGTTCTTCTCGTGGAGTAAAACAGTTAATCACTATGTGCTCTAACTAAATATTTTATTTTATTATAATTTCCTAGTGAAATGGAATGTCCATTTTTCTGCTTTGTATTTACGATTTATAATTTTAAAGCATCATGCTTTATTTACTGTAATTTTGGTTTCAGTATCATTGTTCGCTTGTTGTCGTTTTATCCAGCAGAGGATATTAACCCAGACGAAACCACAAACTCCCATATAAATGACACGGAATCGTGGAGCTATCAAGACGAAATTAAACAATTGTGCTGGCAGCCAAAACATGCACGATTTTTCAAAAGTTGGTATAAACTTTTGTCTCAATTCAAGGAACTTATCATCAGCACCTTCCATAACGGCCATTCCTAGAAATAAATGACGAATACTAATTTCAATGTATATTTTATAGCATTGTAAAAAAATCTATCGTACCTGTATAGAATACCGTCAACAAGAAGGGTGTCAGTACAAACTGGTCCACAACCAATTTTTTGATAATTACTTGTTTAGCTGTTCCGGGAAAAGTGCGGTCCAACCATTTGTACCTTCCGCGCAGAACAAAACGCAAATTAATAGATTTTAAATTATTGAAACATGCTAAGGGTGCTTAATTTCGGTGCAGCGTTGTTAGTGTGTGTGTGAGAAAGTTTATTTTTAATGTGTGCGTGCTTAATATGTTTCATTAGATGCATTGGAGGGTACTCTTACACCCAATAAACTGAACAATTTTATTGTATATAATCGTAAAAACAACACTCAATTACGATTTAAAGATTTAAATCAACCGTTATTATTTATTATTATCTCGCATGTATTTAGGGGGGTAAAATAAGCCAATTCGGAGGCTTTGAAAAATAAAATTCACACCCTATGCGATATATCATTCCCCTTCCATGCATTTTTATATTATGGATCGCGTTTTATATTATTGAAATTATCCGACAACTAAGAATCGGTTTAAAAAGCCCACCTAATAACATAACATGTTTATTGCAACACGATTCACGACAATTCCTTGATTATTAATATCATTCTGCTTGTGGGGTCTTCAGCGCGATACTGTAACTAGTTAGGAATAGAAATATCGATAATTGACAATTTTTATTTTCTTATTTCGGTAATTAGAGAAGAAATTGAAACCGAATTCAGTAAAATGGAAGAAAACATTGAAAACGTTTTACTCAACTAATTTGGACGTGTAAAAATGATTACCAAAAAAATCAACATCCATTTAATTTTAAAAGATTGTCCGTTTTAGGTTTTCATATATTTTGTATTAATTTTTCATAGCGATTTTAAATGTTTCCCTTGTACTGCTGAATTTCGACGAAAATTATAAATAATCACCCCTATTCCGTATGTCGTCGTCGACACGAAACGACGTCGAAGAGCGTCGTCTTTTGCAAATTGGTATTCCCTATGTCGTTGTCGACATTTATCGATAACTATTGAAACATTTTTGGTATTCCGTAACAATGTGTGACGACGACGATGTCGAAGATTTCTTCGTCATAGTTTTTGTTGACGACTGAAGCGTTTGAACATTTTTTTTTTTGAAATTAAAAAAAAAAAACATGACCGGACAAGGACAGGATACATCGTTCTAGAATCTATTCAATACTTAATGCAAAATAAAGTGTAAATAAAGAAAAATATATGGGATCTACATATAAATCTAACCAATGCCAATAGGACTCGTCTATGTGGAAATAAAATTTCATCCCAATTGGATGGATTTTTTTTCAAATTTCATTCCGTTCGGATCATAATGGTGACATGTAACTTGTTTAAAATAATACTAAAAGTAACTATATAATATAACTATATACTAAAAAGTAACTATGGGTCTATCTCGTTTCTTTTTGGTCGTTGCAAACACATTTACCAAGACATAATGGCCTGTGCCACAGTGCGGTGAAGGATACAATCACATTTTTGCCCAAAAATATGCAACAAAATTTTTGTTTTTATTGATATTATCGATAAATAGTCGACATCGTCGCATGAGTGTTACAGAATACCAAATCAGTGTCGAAGTGATGTCGATGTGGATGCGAAGTGATGTCGAAAGAGAAACGTCGTCGACAACGACGACGACATATGGAATAGGGGTGAATGTTTCTGAACACAGCGTTAGATTCAAATGAATACTGTCTACTATCGTGGTCTTCTTCGGTTGGCTAATAGTTATCATCCTAATCAAAGCTAAAAAAAAACTATTACAGCTATATAACCTTAGCAAATTTGGGTGAAATAGCTTGAATTACCATTTGTAAACCGACTCAGAAAGTGATTCTATGCATATTCTCTCGTTTCCTTTTGCCTGTTACAAACATATGCACAAAGACATAATACCCTGTACCACAGTGTAGTGAAGGGTATAAAAACTTTCTGTACAAATTCGTTGAGAACTACTTGAAAGATTAAAATGATGTACCTAGACATATCTGGACATGTGTCATAGAGATGGACAAAGCTTTGTTTAACGCGTGTTATTATACGAACAAGAGACGGAGATAACAGTGAATTTACAGCATGAAAACTTCGAGAAAGCTCTTGCGTAGAAGACATAACATGAACACAAGACAAGGTGCGATAGAAAGAGAGATGGTGCATAATGTAAATAACAGAAGTGAGCTTAAAAGATGTTGTGACACATACATTTATATATGTATTTATTTCCGTATTACACACACATATTAACAAACAGGCTAGGTACGTTCGTACTACCATGGTGCTCTAATCTTGATTGTTTTATTATTATTATTTGAAATGTGTTGATTAGGCGAAATGTGCTGATGGTGCGAATGAACTATAAAACGCTAATCATAACAAATGAATTAAATGCAATCGGGTGGGTAGCGAGCGAGCGAAGCCAAATCAATCTGTGAACAAACCATTGATAGAGTGTTGGAGCATAGACAGCTGTTCCCATTACAGCATACCGACCTATGGTTGGATAATCAATGTCCTCTTTCAATGAGTCTTTCTCAACCTAAATTGTTTTGTTTTGTTGGTGGAGAATTTAGCATATTTCAATATTAATGGACGTGTATTGTTATTGCGAATTTCCCCGAAGGGAAACCGGGTTTTAGTGTTTGGGGTGAAACTAAAATCAGTGTTGCAGCAGACAATCGATGCTGCAGCTGTGGAACGACAACTTACCAGCACTTTTTTGGTCAGAAACTGTTGTGACACTTCGGCTCCCACATAAAGGCTTCCATAGACGGCACTGTTGGTGATAAAAGGATGCTTCTTAAAGAGGATTCCCACAGCATTGAATAACCGAGACATTGTTTACTGTATTTATGTTTTGTTTTAATTGTTTTTTATAGAGGAAGATAAATTTGTTATAGGAAATCAAATATATTCCGAGCGGTGGTACTCACTCTGCTGCTAACTTAATCAACGAAATGGAGATGATTGTGCCCTCCTCGCGTAGAAGCAATCACAACAATTTATTGAGTTTGACAATGAACAAGAAGCTCGACCATTTAATTTCGTTTGGGAGGTGCGGGGCAAAGATAACAACAAGTTTTATTACTTTGTTTTCCAATCTGGCAATAACATCGCGATAACGGCCATTATTGCCAGTCGAATCGTCAATGGTGAAGAGTTGCCATTAATTCGTTAGATGGCAATGACGAATATTTTTAACATTTAGGTTTAAAAAAATCACAGAAATAACGGTTCGATAAAATTTAACAATATGTACAAATTGCTACTGGATGGTAAATAAAAAAAGGTTTTATTTAATTGAAGAATGAAAAGTGCAGTTTTATTCTCAAATGCAGTAAGTTATAGCGAACTTGTAGGGACCATGCAAATTAGTTCGGTATAGCCGCTTCTCTTTTCCTTTAATGTACATGAGATTTTTTGTGAAGGATGACAGCGTTAGCAATAAATTAATTTTCGAGCAGGTTTGTATTCGTTAAGTATTTTTTATATTTATAGCAAGTTCGTTATAACCGAATTAAAATAAATGAAAACTGAAAGATGGAACCGAATAAATAGTGCGTTATAAAAAAAGTCCGCTATACATGTAGTTCGCTATAAGAGCAACGATTTGAATGAATATGTCTTAATATATAATATGTCTTAAAACTTCGGGACCAGGAAATGTGTTCGCTATAATGTTCGTTATAAGCTTACTCGACTGTGGTTCGATTCCCTTAAGTCAGAAACACTTCAACTAATGTTGCATACATATATTTATAAATATGAATATACAAAATGTATATTCACCGACATTTTAATTAAATGCATGACCTCAGTAGTTGCATATTTTCGTATGGAAATTTCAAATGGTCAGGCAATCGTCGACAAATCTACGTATTTTAAAGCAATCATAAATGGATCAAAGGGTCAAAAACATCTGCCAGTAAATTTATCTACCAGCAAATGTATATCTCGAAATCTTAATACAATTCTGCCAAAAAAAATTCACTTCACAGGAGAATTTATTAATATTGCAATATCAGGTAGTCAATTAGAACTGAGTGTCGACCACTATAAATATTCTGCCTGGTGTTCAAATGAACATAGTCCGCCACTACCCGTGTCTAGTCGAACAACACAATTCCCTTTCTCAGGTCAACCCTTTCAACAACGACGAAAATGGAACAAACAATGATTGCACAACTGATAATTAAAAATATGCAAAAAATGCACCTGAACTATTGTGCGTTCAGCGCTATGGATGACCTGTATGCAACACTTCCTTCCGAATCACCAAAATCTGCTCCTGCAACACCCAGGTCGATGGCAACCAATTCGACAGGGATGAAGACCAGACGCAAACATCAGGTTCGCATATCGCCGTATACACCGAAATCATCAGTCAAGGCTAGAAAATCACTACAATTCTAAAATCCGTTGCAAAACTATTTGAAATCAAAATCAATAACACTATTATATTCCGAAGCATAGCTTCCTTTAAAATTAAGAAGCAAGTTTAACTTAAATAATTTATTTTAATTTTTCAACAAATATTTTAGATTTAATTTTCAAAATACATAATAAAAATTTTCCACTTTAAATTGAAACGTATTAAAAAATAAGTAATTTTATTTATTAAATTATGCGTATATCTGTCAAATGACAAATATATGCGAATTATTAAATACTCATTACGTCATAAAATAGTTTATTATGTTAATAATATAAAACTGCAAAAATAAAAAACATCTGCCCTTAACTTTATGATCTGTTAAAATAAAAAAAAAACTCTCGACAGGTATGACCTTCTTTAAAGCGGATTATCCGAACATCTGTCCATAAAGTTTACTGTTTATTTTTATTTATTTATTTATTTATTTATAAAATATTACACTTATAGTAAATATAAGAATAATACAGAAGGTAAGAGCATTGGCTGCAAAGGCCATCAGCTAATACTTTAATATAAAGTAGTATGATATGAATTTATTTTTACTTAAATTATTACATTATTTCTTTTAATATAATCAAAAATGAGATTGATATTTTGAGTGTTTATGGTTTTGAGCATATTGTATCCATTGTTTTGTAGAAAAGTTCGTTGTTGTTGAGATAATAGACTACATGATTGCAGTATGTGTTTGACATCGACGATAGCGCCACATTTAGGACATTTGTTGTCAGTGTTCTTATTAATTAGGTGTTGATGAGTTAAAATTGTATGACCCATGCGTAGTCTGGAGAATATTTTAATTTTATTTTTTTCAGCGTTTGGAGGGTATAATGGAACCTCACTAAGTGGGTTTATAAAGCTGTAATGGTGATGTTGGAAGTTGTTTCTATTGGTTCTTTGTTCCGTTTGCAGCCGAATTGAAATATGGGATTTAAGGTCCATCCTTTCGACAAGTGTATCAGTCAACATAGGTGCGTTACATGCTGCTTTTGCAGCATTATCAGCAAAGATATTTCCTTGTAAACCTACGTGACCAGGAATCCATGCTAATTTAATTTTATTCACGTTGGATATTAGTTGATCCCTTATTTTATTAATACCAGTCCATTTTGTATTAGTTAGGTTTGTTATGGACTTGACAGCAGATAAGCTATCGGTAAAAATTATGGTCTTCTCCTTGGTTTGTTTAGCAATGTATATGGCTTCTAAAATACCGGCTACTTCTCCAGTGAAAATAGAGCAGTAGTTTGATAAAATTTTGGAGGAAAGTACATCGCCAACATTGTCTACAACTGCATACGCTGTGGTGGAATTGTTTTTTGAGGCATCAGTAAAGAGTGTTTTCCAGTTATTGTGCTTGGATATTAGGTGATTGAAATAAGCAATAAAAATTTCGTTAGGCGTGTTATCTTTTTTGTGTAAAGATAAAGATATGTCACAGGATTTATCTGAGAAGAAGAACCAGGCGGGATGTTTTGGGGTATATGTTGTCATCTTTTCTTTAAACTCTAAAATATTGTTGTGTATACATTGGTAAATAACAGAAGGTACTCTAGGTATCCGTTTAGATGTTATTACTTTCGAAACGTCATCATCGATTACTGACATGTTTATGGATAGGATTTTTGGCAACAATCTGTTCATACATACTTTAAATCTTTCCTCTAGAGAAGGCAAACCAGACTCAATAAATAATATTTTTAATGGCGTTGTTCGATAAGCATATAAGCTTGATCTTACGCATCCATGATATAGAGATTTGATGTATTTTAAGGTGGAGTTGGGACTGCCGCCAAATAAGTAAAAACCATAATCAATTTTGCTTAGGACGATTGTTTTTACTAAATAAGCCAGTGTGTTTATGTGGGCGTAACTTCTACTGGATAAATATTTTATAATGTTCGATCTGGAGGTAAGTTCTTTCTTTAAATATAGGATGTGACTCCTCCATCGGTAATTTTTTTCAAATGTTATGCCTAAGATTTTTAGTTCGTTGACATATGGAAAGATTATGTTGTCGATATCGAAGTTATTTGGTTTACAATTTTGTTTTCGACAAATATGGAGTATAGATGATTTCGAAGGTGATATTTTAGCTCCAGAAGTTTTGCACCAGTTTATGATATCTAAAATAATTTTTTTAAACGTTTCATTGGTGTTGTTGTTTTCCTTTTGTTGGTTTATGATGTAGACATCATCAGCATACAAACAATGATAAATTTTGTTGTATTTATTAATCAAAATGCTTATCTGATTGAAGGCAATCTGAAAAAGTGTTACTGAGAGTGGTGAACCTTGAGGTATCCCATTTTGTAATGTGTAGTTTTTAGAGTGGAAGTTATTAATTTTCACTCGAAAAGTTCGACCAGTTAAGAAAGATTTAATGTAGTTTAGCATTTTACGACCACAACCCCAGGATATTAATGATTCCATAATGACATGAACTCCGATACGGTCAAAAGCTTTTTCAAAATCAATTGCAAGTATAGATATATGATTTCTGGTGGAAATGGCTTTGGAGGCATAGTAATCAATATGAAGAAGTGCATCATCACATCCTTGCTTGGCTTTAAATGCTACTTGGTTTGACGTAATTAGTTTTTTAGTTTTTAAAAACCAACCCAATCGATTTGAAATTATGCGTTCCATTAATTTTGATAGACACGGCAATAATGAAATTGGCCTATATCCAGAATAATCAGTCCTGCTCTTATTTGGCTTCGGAAGAGCAACTACAACTGCGGACTTCCATGAAAAGGGTATAATACCGGAATCAAAGACAAGATTATATAAGGAAAGAAGTTTTTCTTTGCCATATTTTGAGATATTTTGTAACATCAAGTAAGAGATCCGATCGTGGCCAGGTGTGCTGCCCTTAACTTTTTTTAAAGCTATGTTTAGTTCCGAATAGTTAATTGTGTTTTCTATATAGGAGGCGCATTTATCGGTGGCAGCATTGATGTAATAGTTTGGGATGTTATATTTTTCTCTGCAAAATTCTGGTGGGAAGTTTGTGTCCAAGGATTCAGAAGACCATCGTTGCCCAAAAAAATCAGCAATATCCGTAGGATCAGATAATATCACATCGTTTGTCTCGATTACTGTTAAAGTGTTTGATGTGGCTCGGTTTGACATTCTATTGACTTTTTTCCATATGATTGAGAGGGGAGAGTCTCTGCTTATGGTGTTTGTAAAATGTTTAAAACAATTCATTTTTGCCTGTTTGCATTCGTATCTAAATTTTGCGTTGGCCTTTTTGTAGCGTATTAAGTTGTTGTTCGTTGGACTTCTGCGAAATATACGATATGCGACAATTTTGTTTTGGCGGTGAAGATGTAAATTTTTGTTCCACCAGGGTACATAGTGGTTTCTTTTATTTTTCCTTAACGGGATGTATTTATTT